AAGTTGTCTTCTCCATAGGAAGGCCCATATGACATAGTGGATCGTCTCTCAGATGTGACTTTCTGAATAAAATGTGGTCTGCGAGGTAAGCCAAAGGTGGTGCATGCCAACAGGCTTTAGCATTATCATGGTCCAGGACATTTCAGTTGGGACGAATTGAACAACAGAACAAAAGATGCCGCTGAAGAAATGTCACCTGAAAAAGCCATTGTCGAAGAAGAAACTCTACCCGGTTTTGAGAAAGGAAACACTGAAGCCCTTGAAGAAGTTACTATCCCTGATGTGACTGTTACCGATAACAGGACATTTCCTGATGGAGCAAATGAACCCCACGTGAAGCAGAAGCCAACGAGATGGAGACCAGTACAGAAGAAAATACATCGCATAAAATTAAGAGACTTAATTTTGTGTTTGTAGTGTTTGTAAATTCTGTACATTTAATTAAGTTATTGTTAATTATCTATTTATTTAATGTAAGTGGCTATTGTTCGGGATGAACAATACTAAGGAAGGGGCAGTGTTATGACAGCGGAAGTCAGGTGACGTTGGTAACACGTAATGATTATCTAGAAGATTCGCGAAAAACGCTAGTGCGTACTATGCACGCGTTTGTGTTACGACAGCGGAAGTCAAGTGACGCTGGTAGCACGTGATGAGTGTCTAGAAGATTTTCGAAGAGGCTACGCGGGCGCTATTATCGTATATAAGTGCGCTAGACAAAGGAGACAAGTGGAGAGAGAGTGGGGAACCAAGGACAGCAATTACGGTCGGTGGGAACCGAGGAAAGCAGATACAGAGATCGGAACTATAGTTGCTGACAGGCGGAGATAGAGATGGACAATTGAGTCAATCACGGTAGTAAAGTGGGTGAATTGTTGTGAATTATAGCGTGTGTTTAAGTTAAAGTAACTGTGGAAATTAAGTGTATTACAAAGTTGTATTGAGGAAGAATAAACTAGTCTTATTTAAGAAAGGACTTGTATCGCAGAAAAATTAACAAACGAACATACAGAGACGTAACAAATTCATTGCTTTAAATAAATAAAAATACATTTTATGACATTGCTTACTTGTCATTGTTATATCTTTTTATTCACGTAATAACCGTCCTCCGGTGTGACAGCGATGGACAAAGTAAAAACGCGATCTGCGTGCCGCGGGTTCGAATCAGCCGTGGGAGGCGTCATAATGTGACGGTCAGTTATACTATTCGTTACTAAAAGAGTATCCCATGAGTTGGCGGTGGGTGGTGTTGACTAGTTTCCTTCCCTCTAGTCTATCACTGCTTACTTAGGGACGGCTAGCGCAGATAACCCTCGTGTAGTTTTGCACGAAAAACATATATAAACTGTAATAGCCAGTGTTTTTATATAGCCGACTTTTGAAAACAATAAATCAAATTTTTAACGCTTTTTGACATAAACTATAGCTCTCCAGTGGCTCAACATAAGTCTGAAGGCTTATAACGCTAAAAAAAAGGGAGTTTCATGTCCGTAATGGGCACAGATAGTCCATTGTGTAGCTTTGTGCTTAACTACAAACAAAGATAAACTCTAAGATTATTTTAACATAGACCAGATTTTTAGGTAAACGATTTCAGAAGTTCACAAATTTAAAAGTAGGGCAATTTCATCTGAGAATAAAACCTAGTTTTAGGATTCTCAAATTTTAATACTGAATATGAATATTTCATTGTTAAAAATTGATGAATATATATATATTTATATCAAGCAGTGTCTTGTAATTTCCGACAACAACTATATAAATATTTCTGTATTAAAGAAATAGAAAGATATATTAATAAATAAATGACTAAGGAATAAAAGTATAAAAAAGTATTATATGAAATTTCTTTTAAAAGTGAACAAGGAAAAAATCTCAGTAATCGAATAACTCACGTTTTAGCTTTTTTGTGTTGATATCACTGGAATATTAAAAGTGTTTTGATTCAAGGGCAGATATCTGAGCGAAGCATTTGTTGAAAGAGTGCGCTTTCTTTAAAATGGCGCGTAAGTTGAAGAAAAAATCTTCTCAATCTCTCATTACTGAAGTGAAACAAAATCATTCGAGGTAGGCTTGTGTATACTTATTTTGCATATTTCTTATTCTTTAATTGTAATTCACTCTAGGAATATATCATTATATATGAAAGAAATCTAATGAGGCTAACGGAACTACAAGTTACAATTGTTGCAGGTGTGTGATACAAATTAGCACCGCGAAGAAAGTATTAAAATAATTCTCGTGTTGACAAACACGTAAACTATAAAGTTTGACCCCTTAATAATTGGAGAGACAGGATGACGTAGTTTTTCATCTCTTAAAAATAGTTTTATCATTTTTATATCTGATTGGCTCACATAATATATTTTAAATTTGGACGATGTTATTCTCACGGCGCTGTGAGAATATCGCTGAGCCTGAAGTATTATTTTCGTGTGAAACTTGTTATTCAATTATTCTAATGGCCTAAAATTAACAATAAATTTAAAAAACTTAAAAAGTGTCAATAGATTGTGAGAAGTTGCGACTTAAATACAAACATGTAGTAACCTTTTAAAATTAATGCCAACGCAGAGTGATCATATAACTTGAGAAAGCCGAATAAACTACATGATCGTCGTTGCTTATAATTATTAATTTTTACGGCATTCTGCTAACAAAGTTGCAATAAATGAATAACGTTGTTTCAGAGACAATCTGATCTTATTTCACTTATATTTGGGGACTTTGTGGTAAGTAGTAGGACTTGTCATGGTCATTTATGTTGGCCTAGGAGTAGGAGAGTTTTTTTATCGGAATATCAAAGCCAATTCTGTTTACGAACGTTTGTATGTAAAGTCAATGGCAAAGCTCGCACCTTGAAAATACCATAGTATTGAAACTATTTTCACGGCGCCGTGAAAATAAGCACTGCTTTTTTTTTCATATATTCTCAAAACGTGAAGTATTATATATGTAAATAATATTTTCGTTTCAATATTGCGATTTTGCCCTTAGGTAAAACTGTTCAAAGTATTAAATATAACTTAAGCTTATGATTTTATTTTTAGTATAAATATAAATTATAGATCATCCACAAAGGTTCTTTTGGTTCATCAAGAATGTCTAGTCTTTCACCTTCCCTCAAACAGAAACCATCACTAAATGTAGATCCAATCTCCCCCTAACATTTATCAACCCTTTCAGCTTTTACCTTCCAGATGACAATTTGTTCCACAGATTTACACTATTAATATTAGAGATATGTTTGACCTCTTGTTTTACTGCCCTTAGGGTTGAAATTTGACACAAAAATTTTGATTCATCAGTCTTCTCATTTTCCTTAATCATCTTGAATAATGAAATTAGATCTCATCTTACTTTTGTTTGACAACCTATCCATTTCTGGAATCATTCTAGTATAAATATTGCCCTTTGGTGGCACAATGGTATGTCCGCGGACTTACAATGCTAGAAACCGGGTTTCGATACCCATAGTGGACAGAGCACAGATGTGTAGCTTTGTGCTTAACTTCAAACAAATAAACCCTCTCCAATAGCTCAAGCCAAAACTGCTAACACTATTGTAATAGAGTCCTAACTAGTAACTTAGGCCTATAAAATGAAACCACAGCATCTTTAAACTTGTAGTCAGTATTTTTGTAAATAACCTAATATTCTATTAAGATTACCACTTGCAATAGAGCACTTAAGATTATTTTCCTCATCCACCTAATTAAGAGAATTTCCATTTGAATTATATACCTAACTTTAACCTTATATAATTGACTCCCATGTCATATTTGCCCAACTGATGAAGCACTGTTAAGTATTTCTTAAACTTCTAAACTATTCCCCTATTAGTGTTGGTAAGGTAAATGAGGAATAATAATGGTCCCAGCACAGATACTTGAAACACAACATTTGTAACAATAGTGCAGTTAGACTAAAATCCATCAATAACAACTTTTTGCTTCATCCTGTCCAGCCAACCATCAGTCCCTTTAAGTTTAATTAACTTTTCCTGTAATCTAACTGCAGTAATTTTTTCATCAATATTTCTGTAGTATCTTAAGAAAAGCTTTTTGAAAATCCAAGTAAACCAAATCCACTCTTTTACCCTCATCTTCATAAGAAGTAACTTCCTGAAAAAAATGTTTACAGCAAAGCATGATCTTCCCTTTATAAAGGTTTTATCATACTAAATCTGACTAAATAAGTATATCTAATTGTAAGCTACAGGTTATATGCTTACACTTTAAGTAACCATGGTTCAGTCACAGTTGTCAGTTTGTCAATCCTACATGTACACAGAATGTACCATGAATGATGTACAAGTTAAAATAGACTGAGCTATATGACTGACTTAGATATGATATTACTCATATTTTCATTTATTTGATTGCAGTTACTAATAGTTTGAACCTATATGTTTTATACACTTGTGATTTTGAGATGCAGTGAAGAAAATATAAGAAATGTGGAAAAAAACAACAACATTCCAGTTAACTTTTTACTTATTTTTACAATAAGTTATACTTATGTTTGGGTAAAAAGCCTAAGGTTGTATTGTTGTATATAAAAAAAAACTTTTTAGTGACACTACACTGTTTGGTTTTAATGGAATTGTTTTAAACTTAATTTTTGTTTAGCATGTCACATTCCAGTTAACTTATTTTAACAATAAGTTATACTTATATTTGGGTAAAAAGCCTAGGCTTGTATTGTTGTATGTATATAAAAAAGAAACTTTTTAGTGACACTATACTATTGAAATGTTTTGGCAGGTTTGATAACCACTTGGTTTTAATGGAATTGTTTTTAACTTAATTTTGTTTAGTATGTCATAAAAAAAGTTTTTTTCAATGTTATTTACCTAGACATTTTAATTGTCTTTTATATTAAAATTTTATAATACATTTTGGTATTTCACGAATAACCTTTTTTTGATGAGATTTGATTTAAATTTTAAATGTCTCTACAGTATACAGTGTTCTGTTAATGTTAGACTTAAAGAAAAAAGCATGTACTGAGTTAGTAGTGAATGTTAGAACTAGCATTGTGGTGGCAATTGCAGAAAAGGTTTGATGGTTTTTATACTTAAGACAACTTAGAAGCTACTGTGTTCATCATTGTTTGAAGACCATGGTTCAAAGTTAATGAATATATTTATTTTGTAATTTATGCTGTATAGTCAAAAACAATTCTAGATGTTTTACTATTAGATCTTAAAATGATATTTCTGCTTTAGGCTCTAGAATCATTATGTGCAGCACACATTCTCAAATACTTGTGATGTAATTCACTTAATATTTATAAAGATCTACAATGTTATTTTTCAAAAAACATAAAGATTTTAAATATTCTCATGACATTTAACAGTTTTTTGTACTTATTTGTGTTCAAGTACCACAAATCTTAAATACTTATGTAAATATAGACTTCTTTTGGAAGCGTATGTGTTGACAACGATTTTTAAATTTTAGATACTTAAGAATGTCTGCTGCAGTCCTGAAGAAGAACAGATATTTTTATACAATTATAAAAAGATGCTATTTAGAGAATTTTGCCAAAATCTTTTTTACCACAGATTAGCATTCAATAGCTAAATTACAAAAGTTAAGTCAACTTCTAGCAACAGACCCATTTAACACTTTTATTGATTCAGGGAAAATGTTATAGATTCATAAAAAACATGCAGTTACTAAAATAAATTTCTGTAGAAGATTATTACAAAATTTTGGATAATAAGTTGTATTATATTTTTATTTTGAAATAACCAGCTTTTAGAATGTTTTTAGTAAAATATATAACCATATTTTTGGAAAGGAAACGGAAAAAAGATGATCGGTTTGATTTACCAATGGATTGCTCCAGTAAAAAGAGTGATAATTTGCTGGATCAACATGAAAGAAAGTCTTTATCTACAAATCAACCAATTAAGTGGGATGTTAGTACAGCAGTGACAGCTGAAATTTTACAAGATATGGGAGTAAGCTTTCTGAAAGATGATCTTTCTCTTCATAGTTGTCAGGAACCAGGGCCAACTCCTCATTGTATTTCCATTGCAGAACATAAAGTTCCTCCCAAGGTAAATGATTGATTTAGTTTAAGATACTAAGTTATTTTAAATGATTTATCAGATAAAAAACAAAGTTTTTATGATAAATATTAGAAACACTAATACCAAAAAGGCATCTTTAACTTTGGACATTTTGGGAATTTTTTGTATTCCATCCCTTAATGTTAAAACCTCAAAGTTAATTCAAAACATTCTAACTACAAAATATCAATGATCATTAGTAAGCAAGAAGTTTTTGATACAGCCAGAAGTTTAGAAAGAACACAGATTTAAATGGTAACTATAATGGAATATATGATAAAGCATGTGGCAAACATATATTTGATAATATTGTTAAGAGAAAACATTATATAAAGAAGGGCAAAGATACAAGTATAAACATCGACATCTTTAGGAAATATATAATTAATTAAAGAAAAAGTTGGAAATTATTAAATAAATGAAAACAGGGATGAATGGATGTTATTATTTAGTGTTGGATGATTGCTAAAAATGTAAAGGCTTTCTTTAATAAATCTGTTTTGAAGTCAAGACGTTTAACGTTTTCAAGAAGGAAAGGGTGGTTGTTATTCTCACTATGCAATCCAATACAAGACTGTGGTGGATTAATGAGTGTATATTATCTTTGAGTTGAAATTCCCATGTGCACATATTTTTAGGGGATGTGTAGTTTTGCCAATACAGGTAGCTTTACAACTACCGAAAGTGTACTTACTAATGACCCATGAGCACATAGTGATGGGTAGAATGTCTTTGGTTTTAAACAAGTTTGTAACTGAAAATGTTGATTAAATACCAAACATAGCTTAATTTGCAGGTATTATACTTTGGCCATTTTTTTTTCTAATTTTGTGGTTGAGTTTAAAACTATTTGCCCATTAAAGGAGTGATAAGAACTATAGGATATGTGGCATTTTGGTTAGTTTTATTTTGATTGTTAAAAATGTTTTAAGAGTATAAAAAAGAGTGTTTTTTAGAGTGTAAAAAATTAAGGGGGTAGCCATTACTTTAAATGTGCTATGGTTTGTACTTATATTTTAGCCTTTCTTTATAATGTTTTCTCTTAACAATATTATGAAATATGTGTGCTACATGTTTTATTGTACATTCCATTAAAATCTGTGTTATATCTAAACTTCTTGCACAATAGCTGATGTTGTTTTTTGTAGTTAGAATGTTGTGAATTAACTTTCTGCGGTTCTAATACTGATGATAGAATATGAAACAATTCTAAACATCCATAATTAAAAATGTCTTTTGGCATTACTTTGTTTCTAATGTTTATTATAAACAATTGTAAAAAGTAATCTTGTTTTTCTAGCATCAAGGAGAAAAGATTAATTACAATATAACTGATAAAATAATAGGTTTTAAAAAAAAGGTTTTGAACCGTAACCCCAATTATGTGTGTTCATTAACTTAATGTTATTTCTGTAGGAAATCTAAAGGAAATTTTCACAAATAGTGATGTTTTTAATTTTTATTTAATCAAAATATCTAAAAGTCCCCGTGAAATATTGGTAAAGCTGATATGTTCGTATGGTTGTAAATGTAAACAATTCTACATTATTAAGTACTTAGGAATTTTACCATAACTTAAATAAAATTGTGTACTAAGAATATTACTTGAACACCTTCAGATGAATGGTATTTAATCTTTTCTGTTTTCCATACAGCATATACCTGAAAATGTGTTGAATTTGAAATTAGTTAACAAAAGCCCTTTTGATCAAAATATTATCAATAGTTGACTTGGGAATTACACTATGTACATTGTTGGATTATTCCACTTTCATGCTGAAAAGCCAAAACAGAAATATCTCGGCTGTCTCCTTAATACTGTCTAGTCTTTTTATACCCTATCTAGTTCATTTTCAACCTCCAAGCTAGAAAGTTAATTTGAATCCCTCTCCTTTCTCTTCTTCCATTATGCAAAACAAGCACATACAGTAAGCCTTCATCACATTATTTTTGTGCTCAATTTCTTAAGACTTCTAATCCATCACTATACAAAAGCCTCTTCTGCCTCTTAAATTTACCAATCCAGTTAAATACCTGGCATGAAAAATGTCCAAACAGCTCTTGCCAAGTGCTACAAGTCTACTCAAGCTTACTTGCAGTCTTTTGCTCGAGGTTCCCCATTTTAATATCTCTAAAACATACTTACTTACCTATCTTTTTAGACCAACACTCAATTTATCATCTGGAAACATATTAAGTCTGCAGATTCCTACTTTCTTGCCTTCCGATACTGTGACACAGACCAAGTTTTCTAGTATATCAATAACTGAAGCTGACTGTTATTTTCTCTATAGCCAAAGTGCTAACTTTAAGTTTTCAATTTTTAGACTTTTCTCATATTGAGTTCTCTTCTTCTGTTATGAACATTTTCCTTTCTGATTCGGCTGTTTGTGTTTATCATGTGACCATTACTACTACTGTTGTTAGTTTAGACTTTGCTCCGTATGCTGCTTGTAAGATGTACTAAATATTAGACTTTTCCATTTTAACTAATGAAAGCGGATGAAAAAGAAATGTTATGTTTAACCAGCTATAGGTTACCCTTAAATAACAACTAGAAAATAAAGAGGCAAAGAAACTACCCTTCACTTATGTTTTGTTTACTTCTGATATGGATTTCATAGGCATCATTGGCCTAATTGAAACTGAATACTCTTAAGTTGTACGAGAAAATTGATGTAAATATTTTTACGTGACAATGCATACATATTGTTGATATATTATCTGCCACGTACTTTATTGTCAATATTGTTGCGTCATCGAGGTCACGTGACTGGTGTGGCGCCCTCTAGTTTCTAGAACTATCTTGTTCTTTCAGGAATGCTCTAGTTCTGACTAGATATAGGGTAGGCGGGTATATATAAGAAGAGACAACGTGACGCGGGAAGGTAATGTGTGCGTAGATATTGAGTAATTGAACTGCAGTCACAGGGTATTGTTGAAGTTAACGTTCGTTCGTTACAGTGTTGTTTTAGCGCGAGTATTGAGGTTAAGTGTATCGCAGAGTTGTATTAGGAAAGAATAAACCAGTTTTATTAAGTAAAGACTTGTCGTTAAAGTTTCGTTGGAACGAAGTTACGGAAATTTAATTAACAAACGGAGACGTAACAAATTGGTGTCAG